TTATTCATTCATTGTTTTGATTATCTGAATTTTGTTAAAGAAAAAATAACCTGTATCTTTGCTCTTCTTTGATATTTTGACACCTTCACTCTCTTTTAGCTGACCAGCTAATAAATAAAAAAGTTGTTTTTATCTGTGTATAAATCCTACTAGATTCAGAGGGGAAGGCAGACACGTACCTGGCTGGACCAAAAGGCAGCTGTGAATGTGTGAGCGGCTGAGGAGCAGGATGCCTGAGGAGTGGCAGGAATACAACCCTGCCAGCCAAGGACCAGAAGGCACAGCAGCTGAACACATATTTTGACAAGTTTGCTCCAGACCATCTGTCCAGCAGACAGCAGCTGTGCTAGAACATCACTCCAGCCTGCAGAAATGTTCTTCCTTGGAGGGGAAAATCCATGAGCAAGTATGCTACCCTCACCTATTACAACTTTGGGCACTCCAATAAAACCACTTGGAAAGATGCTAAATGCAGGATTCCCCTGAAGCTGATTTCTGCCTCTTCAACAGCCACTCTCAGCTGCCCAAGGTTTCTGGCAGAGGAAGCAAGATCAAATGCTGCCACTCATTTCTTCCCTGAAGACAAAAGGCTGAGGCATTTTAGGCTCTTCTGCCACAACAGGGAAGAAGAAATGAAAGGGAGAACTGGAATCAACAACTCAGGAGTCAAGCTCTAACCTGACTGCCACTAAGGGGCTGGGAAACATGAAGGTGTAGGATGCAACCCAGAAACGACTGCTGGCTTGTGTGCCAGCCTACTTCCTCCTGCAGCCTGCTAGGCTCTGACAGCTCTGGCAAGGCCAGGGCTGTCTCCTGGCTGCTCATTCCTTGCCAATCTGCTGCTCCAAGCCATCACCTACTTCATCTGCAGCCTCAAAAAGCACCAAGTGCCTTAATAATCTCCTTACCAATTAAACCCAACAACAGCAAACCTCTAGCACTGGAGGTGCTTGAGCCTGACCCCAGCAACCACCAGCTATAAAGATTTAAAAAACCTCTGGCAGAAGGCACCCAAAGCATCAGCCCTCACCAGCCCCATCCCTTCCTAACTGTTGTCAGGACTTAGCTGTATCTGTGTTTAAACACAACAGATGCAAAGCTTCCATCTACCCAAGTGTCTGTATTCCTCAGGAGAGGCACAAATTTTGAAGAGGAAAAGCCACAAGGGGAAATCCTCTGAAACAATAGTAAAGGCACAGAGTAGAGACAGAAACTCTCCAGGACCCACTGGAAGATAGAAAGACTCTTGCCTAGGAAATACTCACCTCTGTGCAGCTTGCCAGGAAAAACCTATGCCTGGAGAAATATATGCTGTCACTGAAAGATTTAGGGAGGCAAAGGAAAAAGGAGGAACGCTGCATGGAGGAGAGGGTCCTATGAGGGCTGCAGAGAGCAGATGAAGACAGGAAAAAGAAAGCACAAGAAAAAGTGGTTTCTCCCAAAGTGGTGAACAAATATTACCTCAGAAGGTAATTGCAGCTGAAGAAATGCATGTGCTGAAAGGGCTGCTGCATGTTTTAACCCATGAGGCAGCCACAATCCTTTTGCAGAATTGTTGCTGCTTTGTTCAGAGGAGCTGGTTCGCAGTCATTTTAATCAGCTGCTGTCTGTGGTTTTTTGGAATGAACTGAATACAACTACTAAATTCAGCAGTTGTGACTACAAAGTGGGAGGAAAGGGATGCTAAAGCTCTTGGCTTCAACGTATGAATGGTAAAACTCGGGATTTCACCCACAGAGGAAGAAGACAAAACCCAATTCAGTTACTGCAATGTGTTTTTTAACTTGCTGTAAGATGAAGACCTGGAAATGTGAACTTGGCCTTGCTTGGATTAAGCAAAGAAACTCCCAAGCTGGATGGCTGAATTCTCTACAGAAAGCCAAGCCCTAGGGTAGCTTGAGGGCAGACTGGAGCAAAGATGGCAGCAGGCAGAAAGCTCTGTTGGTAGAGGAACATGGGGCCATATTGGTTTTTTGAGTAATTCCTTCACAGCCTGGGCCTGAGCACAGGAGCTCAGTTCAACAATTCAAGCTGTTGGAACAGTCCCTGGTACCCCCCTGGCATGGGACAACCTGTCTTCTCCCAAACCCTCCCAATCACAGCCCAGGAGGCAGCACAGGCCAGCAGCCACTTGCAGTGGGAATTCTGGAGACAGCAACTCGATGAGAGAACAGGAGAATATCATGGTCCAGGCACGGCCAGACAGCTCAGCCAGCCCTGGCCAAGGGGCCCTGGCATGGCCAAGCTGGCTGAGCACTGCTGCTGCTCCAGAACCCTACTGCACACAGCTCCCCCCACTCCATGCCAACCTCCCCTCAAACCACTGGCAAACCACACCTTTTTCCATTGCAGAATTTTCAGCAGTACCATCAAGTTCAGGTGGAATAGCTCATCCACCTTGTGTTTCTCTTCCACCCCTTGTCCTTCAGAGGATTAGCCTCTTTCAGATCCATTGCTCTTGTTTCTTTCATTCCTAAAGACATGCCAGCTGGAGAACTCCCTGCAACTGAGACTAGCCACACAATACTGTTTTGCAATTTATGAGGAAAATCCTTTAAAACATTGTTAAAAGATACTGTACCTTTAAAATCTCAGATATCAAAGCACCACAGTAGCCCAATAAGAATTTAAAACTATGTATCTGCAAATGTTGAGCTCTATGGATTTAAAGAGTGACAGAGTGGTGAAAAGCTAAGTCAATATATCTAATATTGTCCCTACAATGGGGAGTTAAATATGTATCTGATTTCCTACTTATATGGGAAATAAAACAATTTAACAAGGAAATATTATAATGATTGTGGCTTAAGAGAAAAAAAACGGAAAAAAAAATCAAACACAAGAGATGCTAACTTTTAAAAAAAAGCTATGAGAGCCTTAAAGTGACTGACAAGCCACTGTACACTTAAAGTGCTGAGAAAAGTGAAATGGAGCTAAAAGTGTGCCACTGCTACAAAAGTGAGTATACTATAATTCATTCCCTTATGCACAGTTGCTATCAGAGGATCATCTTACTCTGTACTAGGAGTGATTTTTGTTACAGGACTTGTATATTCTGTCCAAAGCTGAAAAAAATTCTACCAATGTCCAGGAAAACTTGCAGAGTAATTGGTGACAGTACACAGGAATACCAATACACCAAACTATCAAGAAAGGCAGAGGATGAAGACAATAAAACAAACCTTTCATCCCACAAATAAGTTAATTTTGAGCACCTTTTTTTCTAGGAAGAACCAGGCTTCTGGGGTAAAAAAAAAATAAAAAGGAGGAGGAGTGTTAAAAGATGAAAACTTAATCAGGAATATGTATTGTTTTTTACATGTTCCTTATTTGGACAGCAAAACCCCAAGTCCTTCTGTTGCTAAGAATCCCAGAATCACCCTGCTAACACAGAGAGAAAGCTTTGAGGCATAAAACAGAGAGTTTGGAGATTATCATTAACAGCCACAAAAGATGAAGAGCTGAACTGGCAAGTGAGTTTGTCCACCTGACATCAAAGAGCAACTCAGACACAGCCCTGAAAATGAGGCAGAGAATCAGCACCACTGGGAGGTCTCTTCTAGGCAAAAGGAACCGGGCCATTATGAGCTCCCACCTGCATGATGACCAGCAGTATAAAACCAGAAAAAAAAGGCCCTAGTTTAGCATTTTACCCCTAAGGCCAGATATTTGACTAGATATTGGGTGGTTCAGCAGCACAGCAGCAGTGCTGGGCCAAATCCAATTCACAGCCATCTGGCCCAGGAGGAGAAGTTGTTACCAAATGAAGCGTGCTGACAGCATATGGAGGCCTCTGCTACTGGAGCAGTTTCATCCTCATCCAGAAAACAAAAAACTTGTAAGATTATGCCAAACACATGATTCAATTTAGGTTGGAGCTCTGCTGCTCAAAGCACTCTGGCCACCACTACTGCATGAAATGGACTGGCTTGTTTCAGTGCTGACTCTACAGCTTTCCAAGGGCTTTTCAGAGAAGAAACAAGCATGGGTTTTTTTTTTTTTTCCTTTTTAACCTGAATTTACTAGGCACTAGGGGACAATTTACTACTAAACACATTTATCAATCTTTTTTACCTCTACCTCCTGTTTATTCATTCCTATATAAAAGTAATTTCAAGCACATGTGAAGCACTGAAGCTGTAGGGCTTCAGCTCCCTCTTCAAAGCATGCAAGCACCAAACATTTTAATAGGCATAGAAGACATCCTAAAATGTCCCCCAAGCATCACCCATCCACTGACCACTAAGCTCCTGCCTTTGGCCTCTCACCTGGACACATCTTACTAGATGGCACTGATCTCCATGGATGTGAGCTGAAAATAACTTCCATGGAAGCAGGAGTTACAGGAGAACAGAGACAATGAAAAATCCAACTCAGAATTCTTGTTTCCACTTTCATGTTTCCCCACAACACTGCCCATGTGACAGTCACAAAAACAATAATAAATAGATATGGAGATTTCTTTGATAGATAGCCAGCCGCTGCTTTAGAGTGAACAAAGATATGGAGATTTCTTTGATAGATAGCCAGCCGCTGCTTTAGAGTGAACAACTTCTGACTGCATAACATGTCATGCTGCAGCTCTGTCCCAGTGACGACCATACTTCTTATATAAATGAAGTTATTTTGATTCAGTAAGAATTCTGTACTTGGAAGGAATGGAAGCAATAAACTAAATGAGGATAAAATACCAGATCTTGTCATCATTCAGTGCATTAGAAGACCAAAATAATCAAGATTTTCAAATGCTATGTCAAGCTGTGCAGAGGAGAAAAGCAAATCTCTTGCTTGTTTTGGCACAGCAAGCTCTTTACAGCTTCTATTTGTTTTAAGTTGGAAAATATAACATTGCATTTGTTAACCCAATAGGTCATTTTCCTATCCAAAAAAGGACAGCTGCTTTTGCAGACATACAAACTAAAGACCGTTTTGTGGGAAGTATTGCTTTATCTGACTTCTCGTTGTAAATAATTATTTAAATTTTTAAACTCTTGTTAAACAAAAGAATAATTTTGATGCTGAGTAATTTAGCACATTGTATCATAAGAGTAATAGTTAATGTTCTCTGGTGAAACTTTTCTGATTTAAAGGATTAAATACTTCAAGTAAAAAGGACAGTATCTGGGCATCCATGATTACATATGATTATAATAGCAGAAGGAAAATCCAAACAGGGCTTCCAGTATTAATCACCTTACTTGACCAAACTTAGTGTAGGAGACTCCAGCTTAGAGCCTAGATTGAATGATCCCCTGGAGATGATTTAATGCCATTGGGAAACACCAAGAGAAGGGTCTGGCTTGTTACTCTCAGTTACTCCCTTTTGCTATGCAGAAACATTTTGAAAGCACAGTTTAGACCCAAGACAACATTCAGTAGTGGCTGGTGACTCTGGGTAGCTGAAATCATCCAGCTGGGTCGATCAGTGCTTACTGAAGATCAAAACCAGCTACACCTCCTTGGACATCTAAAGCCTGAGACACCCTAAAAAGTAGTTGATACTCATGATCCCAGCCACAGAAAAAACTGAATTTGCTTCCAGACTTTAGTAGTTAGAAATTGGTTTGTAATTTAGTGAGAAATTCCATCTTCAAGTGAAGAAAATAACTGTCAGAAAATTACTGGACAGGTAAACAAACCCAGATACTAATATCAGGAAGCTCTGATCCAGTTTCTCAAGCTGTTACTGCTTATGTCTTAGTTGCATTTAGTATGTGACACCTTCAACAAAGGAAAAAGGAAAAAAAAGCCACAAGTGAGCTCAAAAGCAATTCCAGACACTGCAATCAGAGTGTTCTGTGTACTCCAGAAGGCACATCCACTGGATGCTGGAGGGTTGATGCTTTGTGGTAGAGCCCTGCAGTGTCCAGCAAAGTACTTTCTGTAGCTGAGACTGTTAGCAAGGCATTCATGACGTCCCTGTCACTTCCATGTCCTGAGGAATGCACTGAAAAGGCACCACAAAGTCTCTTCCCTCTGTCAAAGCACCTCAATTCATGAAGTGTAGAGGCCCCTCCTCCTCTGTGAAATTTAGTGATGTGGGACTGTGACATACAACAGCCTTATTCAGAAAGGCTAAAATCTAAATACCTAATTTATAGGCTTTTAGCCATACCTGATTATACCAAGAGGGTCTAAAATTTCCTCTTCTTCCTCATCTCCCTCTTCTTTTCTCTCCCCTTTTTTGATATTTTCCACTGATAAAAGCTGTGAGATTAAGTCAGGTGTCTTCTCCTCTTTGAAAAAATCCAATGCATCATTTTCTTCATCTTCTTTCTCCCTGTCATCAGGCACGTTTTTACCCTTGATGTCAACAGCACTGGAAGATTTTGTTCCTGCAAAACACAGTAATGGAGGCAAAATTGAGTATACGAGATAACAACTACAGGTTTTTTATACCTTGCACTTGTTCCTGACAGTTTTGTTTGAGGAATAAAGGACATGATCAGCTTTTGTAAAACTTTCAAAACACTGCCACCGTTCCCTTAATTCACTGTGTGTCATTATGTGTCTGATCTGTTTACTGATTTAAAGTAGTTAAGTAGAGGAAGATAGAGGAAATGAACTTTATCTGAGACATAGCAGCACATGTCAAAACTACTTATTTATGTTCCTTCTACAGTCAACAGAAACAACAGAATTTCCACGTGGTGATTCATCCCATCCAAATGAAGTCACGTTAGAAGTTTCTCTTTGAAGTGCCTATTTCTCTTCTACTTGCTACACAGAGACTGTAAATACTCTGCTTAGATGTAGGTAGCTAACTTTCACATAGCTAGTAGAGATAAAATCCTCTTTTTGATAATCTTTAATTAACTTGGGCTAAAATTAAAGCATTGGACAGCATGTTTCTACAGCTTTCAGTTTACACTGAAAAATGAAGCCTGAAGTTCTAACACCCTTCAGTATGCAAGATGCAGCTGAGCAAATTCAGCCAACTGAAACATAAAACTAAGTCTTCTCACCACACTTGTGTCAGGAAAATGAATCCACAAACACCAGAGGTTTATGTCCAAAAAGGAGACAGAGGAGTCCTTTTATTTTATTTGAATAAAGGGAGAGACCCCGTTTACATGCAAAAGCCAGCAGAATAAGGAGAAAATACTTCTTTGTTACAGTTTCTGGATGTCCAGAATTTAAAATAATGAGATAGCAAAAAAGAAAGGTTACTGAAAACTGTGATGGATAAAATGAATGGTTACACCATTTTGACTAGTGAAGTAACATGTCATGGGAGTCTCATTTCTTCCAGTGTTTCATGTCCGCAGCTGCCAAATCAGGGTAAGACTTAAATTACTCTAAGGCAAATTTTGATTTCACATTACTTGCACATGATCTGCCCACAGAATACAGTCCATCCTTGTTTAGCTGCAGATGTGCACCATGGTTAGGTTAACCAGCAAGCAAAGATCAACCAACATGAATTCTGAATTCTTTGTGCAAGGGGTCTGCTCTCAAGAGAACACTGCCAGAGAAAAAAACCCCAAACAAAAACCTTGCTACCTAGATCTTGCCACACATTAAGCAGCTTTGACTATAGCAAACTGCCAGTTTCACAGAGCTAATCTGGCCAGACTTGTCACTTCTGCAAAATGGGCTGTTTACACTTGATAGCTTCTTGCAACTTAAAGTAACCCTCCACTAAGAATCCTGTACAGGACCAGGCTGGAGTATTCCCTGCTCAGCAGCCCTCAGCTGAATTAAAAACAGAGAACTCACATGTTCCACTCATTCAGTAATTCCCTCCTATGCCCAAAGGACACAAGAAATGAACTACACTGATCAATAGACAAGACAACAAGAACTGGACATAAGGCTAAGGAAAACTAAGAAAAAAAGAATTAAAAGTAAACTAAAAAGAAAAAAAAAAAAAAAAAAAAAAAAAAAAAGCTAGCCAGAGAAAGTATTTAACTAATAAAGAATCTGTCTTTCACTTAAATCTTTCTCAGAGCCAATAATTTGCAGGAAAAGCAGTCAAAACATGGAAGAGTTGCTCACTAAGGGAGACTCTGCACTGTCCCTTTAAGGTCCATCTCCCCACTGATAACATAGTTATCAGAGCACTCTCTAGTTTTTGGCTACCTGAGTCAAGAACTTAACACTCCCATACAGTACACTCATGGGAGAGGGGACACTCACATCTTTTAGTTACCTAAAAATTCCAGTAACTCAGGACTTGTTGCTAGTTCCTCATCTTTGGAGATGAATTTCATGATATCATTGAAGGTAGCTCTTCGTTCAGAGATGTCAGATTCCCCCACAAAGAGAACTTTTCTAGGCAGGAGTGGAAGAGAAACCTGTGGATATCGTGCTGTCAGTCTCTGGTAGAGCTCTTCAATCTCACTGTACTTCTTGGAAACCTGCAATGAGAATGTGTTGCCTGGGTTCATTTCTTTACAGGAAATACAGAAGCAGCAGAGCAGCAGTTTAAGTGCTGTGAAACATTAACTGTGCAAGTGGAAAACCATATATTAGCAAGGAGCTTTACACATGGCCTAGCAAAAGCCTGTTATGTACTCCATGAATCCTCCAGCATTGTTGTTGGTCTTCTGTTATTAAAATCTCCTGCTTAATGGAATTAAAGTTCATTGCCAGAATCCATTTGTCTGACTCATCAGCTAATGAAATACTGGGAAGGTCACTGCATCAGATACTTTTCTGACAGCAGGAATCTTTCTCCACTGAAAGTGATGCCCAGTCCTGAGAGACAGAAGGGAAGAAAAGCCCTGTCTGGTAGGTATATGGTAGAGAAAGCAGCCTATGTCTTTGCACCATTGTCCCATTCCTCACTCCTGGTGGCTTCAGTGCTGTTTGGCCGCTTGGGCCTAAAAAACTGTCACCTTTTCTGCCCTGAAGAGCACATGACACAAAAACCTAAGGGCAAAGACCTCTGCTGACCCCTGACTATTCAGTTCATCCATGAGAAAATAAAAACCAACAATTTGGCCATGGCCTAAAAGGTTCTCATACAGGGAGAAGATGTCAACAGTGAATGGAGTCATTCCTTCTTTGGACAAAGACAGGAAGCCTGGGGAGAAATAAGGCTCAAAATATTACAAGGAAAGCAATAGCTATGGGAATGTTGGTTAGAAAAGGTGTGGCTTTTATGCCACATTAAGAATTGAATTCAGTATCTTAAACCAACACACAAAACGAAACGCTATCTCTAAGTGGCGTTACAGATGCAATGAGGGTGACTCCCCTGCTAATCCCAGATAATATATTTGTCAAGGCCCTCTGTGGACTCATAATCTACCAAACTGTTTCAATACAGAGATTTGAAAAAAAACCAAAATAACAGTGCTAGTGGAGTGCATAGAACACAGATACTTTTTTGGGGTCCAGCTCTTATCCTCCTGTAACACATGTTGCTGAACTCTAGTGGAGTGAATCCTAATTAACACTGCAATATGTGCAGTATTGCACATACTGAGATGGATATAAAAGAGAGAGAGACTCAAGAACCACACATTGGAATGAAGAAATGCTGAGTTCTCCCACAAACACAGTAATTAAAGAAAGTCAACCTAACAAAAAGCACAGAAGGGAAGTGAGTTATAGATTAATGCAAAATCCCTACACTGCCTCTATACAAGCAAACTAAACAGTACCAGGAATATTCCCAGCCACTGCAACTTGAGAGCATCCACTAGAAACCTCATTTACAGTGTCTACTGGAACCTGAAAATGTCTGGGACAGTTCCTACACTCTGGGCAGCTACCATCCTTCAGCCCAAGATCTGGCCCAGTGGAGAGACCCCTCAGCAGACAGTTTGGGGACTGATGCACACTGCAGATGGTAAGAAAGTTTAATCCTGCACATGCTGCCAGACTGTGTTCCCTCCAGGCCAGGGAACAGGCCCTGACAATAACAGGCACACCTCAACCAGTTCACTGATTCAGATGTGGGCACAAAGAGCAATAACCACCTCAGCTTTCACGCTTCCCTGCCTTTTGCAATAATTATCAATCTAGCCAGATGATTTGGAAAAGCATTTGCATTTCAGATGTACAATGTTCACTGTGGGTTCAGTGTCCAGTCACAAAAGGCAAGCAGCTTTGTAACAAAGGTCTGAAATGCAACACCCAACCTGAGTTGGCAGGGGAATGAAAACCAAGAATTTCAGACTTGTCTTGTGAAAGCAACAAAGGTTAAGTGTGAGTAATACTGTGCTCCACATGCGGGATCTGAAATACCATTCAGCAACCAAGCACTAAAGTGAGGGCAATAGAGATGTTCCAGAACATCGTTATCTTCCCTTTGAAAGACACCCCAAAAAGAGAGGGGAAAGCAATTCCAGAGCTTCTGAACTGCTGTACATTTTTAGTTCACTAGGTCCCAGTAGCACTCCGAGCAGGGTATGATGCCTGAGCCCCCCCCAAAAATACTAAGTAAGCGTGAATACAAGGACAGTAAGGAATTCACTGGTGCTCTTTTGAAAGAATAAACATCATTGGCCTCCATCCAGGAAAAAAAAGAAGTAAGTCTGATTTGCAAAAAACATTTAACATCTAATTAATTTCAATAGTAACTACCAAATTAATTTCTGAAAGCATTACCAGACAGCAGCCAATCAAGATTATGCCAAAACAGTTTTTTAAACACTCTAACACTGAACTGAGACAAACTTATTTCTTTCCCCACTTTATTTTCATTCCTCCTCTATCAAAGTCTGTAAATTATTCATAAATCTCAATTTATGTCTAATTACACCACTGAACCTAAAGCAAATGCACACCCTCGCATCCCATCGCTAATTGCGCCTTTGTGGATCTGCGTGGGCTTTGAACAACAACGCCGGGAACGCACTCGCGACAAGGAATACCAAGTGTGACGGCACTGTCTCCAAAGCATACTAATGTGCTTCCCAAAGCCTGCACACACCGTGCAGGACAATATCCAGCAGTGCCGGGATGCCCTCTGCTGGAACACCCCGCCACACCAGTGAGCTGTCAGACCTCCAGCCAAAACCATTCTCTGCTTACCTAAGCACAATGCTGGCCCCTGCAAGCCCCTGCCAGCTGGGGCTCCTCACCCACTGTCCCTGTGCCTCAAGCCCTGGAAGCCATGGGCTCCTCACTCAGCTCTGCTGCCAGATTTACTCTGGTTTTGGTGCTCAGAATGCAGTGGTAAGGCTGGCTGAGCCCACCAGACTGGTGCACTGAGAATCACCGGATGGTTTGGGTTGGAAGGGACCTTAAACATCATCCAGTTCTATGGGCAGGGACACTCTCCACTATCCCAGCTTGCTCAGTCTGCCATCCAACCTGGCCTTGAATAATTCCAGCAATGGGGCAGCCACAGCTTCTCTGGGCAACCTGTTCCAGTGTCTCAGCACCCTCACAGTCGAGAATTTTTTCCTTACATCCAATCTACACCTTCCCTTCTTCAGCCTAAGGTCATTACCCATTGTCAATTCCAGGTCCTTGTAACCAGCCCCTCTCCTGCTTTCTTACAGCCCCTTTAGGTACTGGAAGAGGTCTAACACCACCCTGGAGCCTCCTCCAGGCTGAAGAGGCTCTCTCAGTGTCCTCACAGGAGAGTTGTCCCAGGTCCATGGCCACTTTTGTACCCTTCCTCTGGATCTGTTCTAATCACATCTTTCCTGTACTTGGGACCCCGGAGCTGGATGCAGTAGCACAGAGGCCTTACACGAGCGCCAGACAGGTTCCACAGAATGCATTTTTTCAAGTCAAATCCCAGACATGACGTGGAGCATTTTCACACCTTTCCAGTCAGAAAGCACTGCTCTGCCACAACAATTCTGGACCCTTTCAATGTGACATCTTCTGTCAATTTTCCAGAAGAAAGGTGCATCAGCATGTAACAAAATTAAATCCTGCCTTTCCTGGTTATCACTTACAGCCCTTTGAAAATGTTGATGGATCTTAAGGCCCAAAATGTCAGGATAAAAAATAAGCACTGCTCTAAACCCCATTTAATCAATCCTATTAAGTAAACGAAGTTCCATTTGATTAATATTCAAATATTTCTCTTCTGCTGCCTGTAATTTGTCCAGGTCCTCATCCCATAGTTATCCTCTCCCCCTCCCCACCTCTAACTGAGCACTGTGGAGCTAAACCCCACCACCTGTAAGTAAGCCTGACTGCACACACTTCAAGGAGCTCTGTCAAGTCACAATATCAAAGCCTCAATCTGCTTCACTTCAAAAGAGTTAATCATGCAAATACAGCAAAGCATGTGCACATTTGCCAGGTCAAGACCTTATTTGCCTGCAACAATTAACATCCAACACAGAACTTAAAAGACAGACAGGGATGGGGTGAATGTTTTTTTTTTCTTTCCGCTGGGAACAAATAAATAAGTTGAATGTGATCAAGTATAGCTAGAAGGTTAAAAAACCACCATGAAGTTCAAAGTGAAAGTGTGAAGTTTGCTGCTCATCCCCCAAATCTCATGCATGTGCCTTGCCCCCCTCTTCCCAAGGGCCTCACGCATGAAAGTACACACCGGAATGGCTGTAGGATACGAGCCTGGGACTCACAGTTGTGTGCAGAATTTGATCCCGCTCAGTATTAATGCTATTTAATACCTCCTTTCCCTTCAAAGCTCCTTTTACTGCCCTATTTCTGACCTCAAACTTGTCTTCATATGCTTCATATCTACTGCAAGGATTTCAACAAAATGGAGACCTTAGAGCTAACAGAGCTCTTTGCCAGCCAGTGCACACCAATAAGGAGCACACTTGGTTTTACAGTATTTTGTGAAAACCAGGGCTACTGTGACTTTCTTCTTATAAAGCCTTCTTCTTAACACCAACAGGGAGATCCAGCATCACTGTCCTTAAAAATAACCACTAGCTTTGGGTACAGGAATCAAAAGCACCCTTTCTCCCAGGCAGCACAACCCAAGTTTTGCCTTGGAAACTCCCAATTCAAGCCGTACTAGAATTAATGTTGCTTGGTGACCCCATGGGTATGGATTATGGTAGATTTTAATTACATGACCACATGCTGTTCACCTCATCTGTTTTGCCGAGCAGAAGAGCAAGAACTCTAATATTTCTTTTTAATCAACATGAATCCTTAGTGGCTTCTGGACCTCATGCTACACTGAGCATGAATTTTTCCCTCCTCTTTCCCATTACAGAAGCCATAAGGTGAAGGAATTTATCTTCACAACATACCTGTATGGTCAGGAAAAAGCGACTCCAATGCACAGATTTTGACACCCCCCCCGACCCTCCCCACAAAAAGGCCAATATATGCAAAAAGGCAATGATGAAAACATAAATGAATACACATCCATGTAGTCATACACTCCCTCATTTAAAAAAAGGAAGACAGTTCTATAGTAAATGCCTCCCTAAACTGTGCTATCCCTGTCAAACACCAGTAGTTATTTGTTCAGCTTTGAAATAGAAAAAACTTGACAAATAACTTGTACAGAAGAATCAAACTGGACGCAGATACAATGAGAAGACACTAAAGGCTGAGTGGATTTTTAATAAGGCTGGGAAGGAAGAAGTTAATGCTAGAAAAGCTAAGGTGTGGCTAGAAGAAATGCTTTAAAGAAAAGCAAAGCCTTCTCTTTTTATCACAGAAAATGGCAAATCTACAGGCAATAATTAAATATCACCTAGGTAGCAGTACCAAAGAGAAAACCAATTTCCCTCTTTCGATAGTACAAGAGTATTCTGACCTTTGAAAGAAAGGCAACTGACATTTCCCTTAATTATCAAATATAACCTTAAGGTAATTCAGTTCTACAACCCATTTTCCCTATTTTGCAATTAGTGTTTTTTAAAATTAAAATTTTCCCTCCAGTTTCTAAGAATTTAGATCTGAATGTCATCACAGAAGTGAATTTCTTCTTCTGCTAATGCTTCACAAACATTTTGATTAGAGATGCCATGATGCTGATTTTGCAGAATCCTATTAAGACTGGGGAATAGAGCACTCTGGATTGTTTAGGCCCACACTAAAGGCTTCACAGATCAGATCTGAAATCTCTTTTTGATGTTCATCTGGTTTTTGTTATTGGGCCTTAACACATCTCTTGATCTTGACAGGACAAGAGACAGACAGAGCCTCAATCTGCACCAAGGGAGGTTCAGGTTGGACATCAGAAGGAATTTCTTCATGGAAATGGTTGCTAAACATTAGGATGGACTACCTAGGGAGGAGGTGGAGGTACCATCTCTGGAGGTGTTCAAGAAACATCTGGACGTGGCACTTGGTGCTCTAGCATAGTTGACAAGGTGGTGATCTGTCAAAAGCTGGGTCAGTGATCTCAAAGGTTATTTCCCACCCAAATGATCCTATGATTCGGCCTCTGCCTTGCTGACCATCCTTTCCCAGGGAAAAGAGGAGCTGCTGGAGCCACTGGAGCCACTGCCTGGCGCTTGCTGCAGGCACTGAGGCCTCAGGACAGCGACAGGGCAAGGAGGAGCCACAAAACACAGACCTGGCTCCCAGATGGCCAAAACAGAGACAATCTGAAAATCAGTGTCCAGGGGAATCCTACCCCACCTGCCTGCCTTCTGTAACCTACGTGCCACCTCAGTGCTGTGACACTGGCTCCTTCTTCCAGTTTGGCAGTTTCAACAAAAGCAAAAAAAGATGTCCTCCATCCCATTCTGCCCATTCTGCTCCAGAACACGCACACAGTAGTTTCTTCATCCTTCATATGTCTCATCTCACTTTGCTTTGTGATACAAATTTAATGTGTTAGATCTGCTATGCATTGCAGCCTTGTTCTTCTCTGTGGTTCCTCAGGTATCTCTCTTACACTTCACCTGCAAACTCTCTGGGGAAGGGTCACAGCTCTTACTTGTGCTGCTCCTGCATCCAGCAGAACACGGCACTGCACAGTACTGGGTGCAACCCGCCTTCCCTGGCAGCCACAGGATTGGCACTTCTCTCCAGGTTAAGCCATCTGCCTACAAGCATGAAGTGTCTCAACTCCCATGACAGTCACTGGTAAAATGACACTTTGGTGAAACACAACTGAAGCTCAGCTCACCTGAACACAGGAAGTCAGTGGCACTTTGGATGCTGTACTGTGTTCTCCTTGTTGTTTCAGGGCAGTGCCAATGCCTTTATGTCCTCTGTCACACCTGCCAACCCCTGTGCACACACCTACAGTAATTTAGGGTTTGTTTCTCAAATGGTATCAGACGTTTATGTTATGCAAAGTGGGTTCCCCCACCCCAAAGATGCTCAGCTACATCCTTTTCAATGGCACTGCACCGATGGGGATGGGAGTTTAGAAAACCAAATGCAGACATCTAATTATAGAGCAGACTGTTCTGCCCAGAAAAAGGCATCCCATGCCATCTGAGATGCTTTGGGGTATTCAAGGGGCTTCTGTGCAGCAGGCTATTACCACCCAAGATCCATAGGAAACCCATAATCTTTTGAAGGCCAGGCAGAAAATCCCAGGACACATGTGACTGCACAGAGTGATCTATGTTCAACTCTACTGACCCTCAAGCACTTCAGCCTGGAGTTGAAGCTCCCCACCACAGCTGTCTAAAATGTAAATACTTTATGGTCTAAGAAGAGACACATTTCCAGAGGATGAGTCACATCATTCCCCTCCTTCCCACTGACCATAAAAGCATGGACAGACTCAGATTAAAATATCCAGTTTACAGAGAGATAAGTTATGACAGGTGAATCCCTCTGTTCCTTCCAGTAATACATATAGACAAGACTCGTTGGAATGAATCGATGGAAAGCATCCATCCTCAACCTCCCAGCTCATGGTTTTAAATTACTCTCACACAACAAACTATATAATATATCATATTTAGTCAGCTGAAAAAAATGTAACTGAGGAGATAAATGTTATTCTCGTCAGGCTCCACCAGTTTTTTTTCTTCATAAAGGATGAAATGTCAGGAGGCCTCACCAGAGGAGAAATCAGGAAGGTTCATTTCACTTGAGAAGAGCAACTGAGTGCTGAAAATCCTCCCAGAGAGAGACATGGGAACAGACAATCCCAGCAAGCAGAGGGGCTGCAGTACAGTCTGTTTCTCCTTTTAACAGACAAGCTAATTTTATCAATTTATTCTTAAATGATGCAAAATGAAGTTAGACAATGACAGCCCAGTTTAACATCTCAAGTGTAGTCAGATTCTTTCTTCCACAGAGACATGTGGAAATATTACACAATATAAGCATGAAAACAAACAACTGTGCATCCCCTTCTCTTATCTGCCCATGTCTGGCCCTTCCCTCTCCTAAAAGAAACTTTAATGTGATTATGCAACTCACAGGCTCAAGAAACAGGTGTATATCAGTACTGAATAACAAGCCCCAAAAATACTAATTTTTAGCCAGGAGCAGTTCTTCAGCTGATGTTAGGGAATAGCCACATGACACTGGCACACAAAAGGAAACACTGCAGGAGCGAGAACAAGCAGTCAGGGATGAGGAAGGAGAACAGAACAGAGTCCTATGCCAGCATTGCTGCTTGTACCACAGTTACATAGAGCACAAGGTGTGGAATAAATGCAGGAGATTTCATTTGTTGTAAAGCATTTCTTTACAACACTGACAGATGTTTATCTGTGAATCAGATTGCTTAAATAGGATTTTATAAACTGTCTTCTGTGAAGTGTGTTATGCTGCAGGTCATGGCCTACCAGATAACCACACATTCACATCTCTCTGACATTACAGCTATTGCCAAAACCTCTGAAAAGAGCAGATGTTCAAGCATGCAAGGGCGTGTCCCTTTATGGTCAATGGACAGAGAAATGCACTTCTTGGGAGTGGTTCAGCAGGCAGCTAAAGATCAAATAGAACACCCTAAATGCACCTTTTCCCATCAGCTTGACAGACAGTCCCAGGGGCAACAGCTTAAGTGGATGTTCACACACCATAGATGAGATTAATTCCACCTGTTATAAGTCATGTGCTGTGCTTTCAAACCTTTACTCTGCAGGTATAATGAAAAAGACAATCCAGCTAAATAATGTTTTATATGGACACTTCCTTGTAAACCACTCTTACTAAGGATTTTAAAAGCTGTGTCTATGTAATAGACCCATTCAAATAAGCTACTATATATTTATTTCATGTTTCTGTATGACGTCTAGTACTGATACATATGTTGGAGAATCTCATTTGTAGCAGAAATTACAAAAAGCTTAATTGGATTCCTATTTGTTGATCCATAATGAAAAATGCCTTAAAGGCAACAACAGTCATCATCACTTTTAGCTCCTGGAATAAAAAGTTCAGTTACTGTGTGCATAATGAAATACACATAATGGAATAGGAATTGCAGAAATGGTAAGACTGTGTTGTCCTACCAAGGACCTTGACCTGGAGAGGCTGTGATTGATGATGAAGCATCTGCTACATCATGACAGAAATAATCAATGCTGATTAAGAACGTGATCACTAACATAGGTCTGATTAAATATTTACCATAAATTGAACCACATCTTCAGGCTTGTGCTTTGCTGATTTGAAGGCAGCCAGTCGGGTAACAACAACAATGTGATACTCGACATGGCCAGACATCATCTTCCCATGGATTTCCTGGTATTCCGGCACCGACAAATCCAGCCCCGTGTGGGCATTCTGAATTTGCCTAGGGAAAGAAACACACAGAGTTTAGGCACTGGCACAGAGACTTCTCCCAGTTACAGGCCCAAGAAAATCAGTGCAAAGGCTCTCCCTGGACCAGGACATCAGACAGACCCTACCCCCAACTCTTCCTACTCTGCAGTAGGACAAACTGGGACATAGCCTGTTTCCTATATTCCATCCCAAAGCACCTGCCATGAGCCACTGCAGGCAACATGCCAGAACACAGCATTTCTGTGAAGAGATGTACATTCATTCAGAGCAGGACTTCACTTGCAGGAGCTGAAAGTGCTCTAAACTTAGCATGGCAGGTGAGAAGATCCCATGACCTCTCACCAGGTTTATTTTGAGACAAAGGTCTGTTCATAGTGGCTCATCCCAAGCCCTATCCACCTGTCCTTTATCTAAGGACATTCCCAGGAATGACAGAGACAATAGCTGAAAGGTGCCATGAAAGAAAGAAGGAGCTCTCTGGAGCACAGGGACAACTTGAGGTTTATGAAGAGCCAACCAGGGAACTGGATTAAAGCTGAAATACAAAGGAAGCTGCTGGAGCAGACTGTTGGGCTAATTGCAGTTTCCATTTGTGAAGGTCCTTGAGGAAAATCAGACAAACATCAAGACTGAGCAAGTTAAAGGAGGACACGATCTCTCAGAGCTGCCTTCTGGTTTTGGCTGTCTGATAGACAGTCTTGTCACCAAACAGCCTAAAGGGCACACTAGCCAAAACAGCGTGGTTTTCCCACAGAAAATCCTACTGGAAACAGAACTACCTGTCCTTTCATACCCAGTTAAAGTAGACAACCACAGCATTAACCTCTGAGAGCTGCCAGCAGTCATAACCACCCATGGCTCCTCCTGGAGGAAAATGCAACAGGGGAGCTGCTGCTGCAGTTTACTCAATGCATTTTTTTCCTCCTGACCACTTCAGATCCACATAACTGGTGATATCTTTCCCCCTGGATTGCCACCTGAAAATATGACATTTTTGCAAGAGGAATGCCAGATGATACAAGTGTGCTCACAGATCAGGAGTAAGACCAAGCAGTTGCTGTTAGAGCATTAAATGGTACGTTTAATGAAATAAACAGTCTGTTTCAACAGTCTGAAAACCAAAACTGGTAAAAGATCCCTTCTCCAAAGTTACCCTATGCCAAGCCACAGAACACTTGCTGTTACTGGAACCAAATATTCTGCCAGAATCAGAAGTTCACCATCCAGAGGATTGAATACCCTCTGAACACATCCCTGAGTACATCCTTCCTATGTGTGAGTGTTTTTTAGAGAAAACAGAAGGGACCATTTAAAAGAAAATCAAACTAGGATAATTTAATATTTTTTATGCATTTTTAGATCTGAACCATGAGGATTATCAAGTTCCATCTTCCCTGGATTTCCTGCAGACTGCAGAGTTCTTGCAGAATTCTTGCCTCTTCCTTTAGGAAGTTTAGATTCAGGTGCCCTTTCACCTAAGGATACACAGAACTTAATATACACTTTCAAGAGGTTTAAACAATCTAGTTTCAAACAAAGTTTCAAAAGATTCCTCTCATCATGTCAAAACTTGATCAGTTCTTATGAAACTCAAGCTTCCCCAAGAAGGCAACCTCTGAATCTCGAATGCAAAGCTTGAATAAAAAGCCTTTTAAAAAGAGTACCTTGAGAGTTCTTGATAAATAGGATAATAATAAACAAGGACACAGACCCAGTTTTGTACCAAATTCTCTTTGCAAGCCATGTTTAAAGCCCTAGGCTTTTAACAACAGCTCTACCATCTCCAGTGTTTTGATGATGTTGTTCTGTCTGCTCCGATTCTGTTCTCATGTTCTGCCAGTCAAGGGCTTCACTTTACACATCCAGACAAAATTTTGTTACACATGGCTGGCTCTAACACAGAACCAGTATATTCACTGTGTGTGAATATAGAGGTGCCTGGCTTTCACACAGCAGCCTGTGGGACCTGCGAGTAACAACCATCATCTGGAACTCTGCCTTCTTCAGTGGCAGCCAAAATTCTGACTCTAAGGGCGCCTGCCAGTAAAATCAGCTGGACCTGGATTTTTTTAGAATACACCTGCAGCAGAGGATATGCTATTATAAAAGACTTACAGATCATGATAGCCTTAAACACTTAAGATCACCAAAGGAATTTGCCCACTGTGGCAGACTGTATAAAGAAGCAACTCCTCATCTGTGACCACCGACACCTCCACCCCAAATCTGCTGCCGTGAATTCCTGGAAATATGGACAGTAAATTAATTGAGATAAGATAAAGGTGGTACTATTGTCCAAGTTATCTCAAGCCTAAGGAGAGGTAAAGAAGACTGGGGGAGAAGAGTGTAACACTGCAAGGAGTCCATGGAGAAGGCCAGCTCAACAACTGTGATGAAGGTCAGCTTCAACTGGAGGAGACTATAGTCCACTGACTCAAAAGAAGACACACTGAGCACACACACATGTGATTCACATTCACATGTAGGCCTGAGGCTACTTATCTCTTCTGATGGGGCATAACAGGCTGAACTAAACAGGCATGAGAGGCAGCTGGCTGAACTAAACAGGCATGAGAGGCAGCTGTCATGCCTTAAAAAGTGTCATAAACCATCAAAGACACCCAAGGCACCCCCAGATGTATTTCTGGGGCCTTCCATCAGAGGACTGTACATGCAAAAGACAGTGCAAAACTCCCCCCTGAAGAGGAAGTGCTTTGGCATGCTCACATATACCTGAATGTATATCAACCCATTAAATGTTATGTTTTGTGGGACCCTTACCACCAAAAAGGGTGAAGGAGGACCAACAGAACACTGCTGGATCCACAAGGTTAGTGATTATTTTTCTACTTCATTGTTCTCACTCTGCCTCTCCCCCCACCTTCTTTTCTATGTCTTTGTCTCTCTCTCACACACACATTTTACTAAATAAAATCTGCATTATTAATTTTGGCATATGATCTCATTTGCATGTTAATTTGGGTAGAAGCATCACTCTTTAATAATCACAATAATCAGATCTTAACCGCTCTCCAGATGTGCAGCCACTCAGAAGTTGTGACTGTAGCTATGGCAGCAAAAAGGTCTGTCACTGGTACTCAGGAATGACTTACTAACCCAGGGAAGTGTGCGAGTTACCAGTCCTTGAAAGGATGTGTAGACACGGCACCTGGGAACAGGGTTTAGTGGTGGACATGGCAGTGCTGGGTTAATGCTTGGACTTCATGATCTCAAAGGTCTTTTCCATCTCAAATGAGTTTGTGATTCTACTTCTGTTAACACAGAGTATAAATGACTAGCTAACCTGCTTTCTCCTCTAATTTAAATAAAAGGAATAATGATCAGTGAACCACCCTCAAGTTGCCTTTAGCTGCAAACACCAACCATGTACAGAAATTCTGAGATGACACAATGACAACTTCACTGTAAGAGCTGCTGCATGCATTAGAGAGTTTTGAAACTGTCATGAAGTTAATAAGTACCTTATCTACACCCAGGGGTTTTCTTTTAAAGTTATTAGAAGTCTGTGCTAAAATGTCACGGACAATTATTAGAGGAAGGGGGAATAGCTACATTTTTGTTTGTTTGCTTTAGGTCTTATGATCACTTTCATTATCACCTACAGGAGACCCCTATTTTCTCTTCCATAGCAACAGGATTTCTTTTTAAACATAAAACTTACTCCAAACAAACAGAAATCAACAGGGAGGCTGCGACAAACAGAGTGTACTATCCAAAGTGCTCCCTAGTTCTTGCAATGCCTTCAAAATAAGCAGCCTTAGTACTTAATTAAATACTGTTATTGTTATTCAAACAGACCCAGCACCTACAAATCCAAGACAGAATATAGTTTCACTGCATTTTTCACATAAAACACAATTATTTTTATACTTGTAGCTTTTTAAAAAAACAGCAAAAGGAGAAAACAGGTTGTTTAACTTGAATAGACAGGTTTATTGCTTCTACTCTTTATTTGAACCTAGCTTATCTCCAGTTTACACTTCTATCTAAAAAACAGACAGTTCACCAGAGACCTGGGCACATGGTTAGCCTTCCTAACAGGAATCACTTCACCCAAACCCAAGGAGACCATTCATACCAGCAACACTGGTGTGAATCAGATCATTGCACAATCAGATCATGCAGGATTGGCCCAGAACAGAGGAACTGTAGACTATAAACATCATCTGAACTGAGCAGCTTCCACAGTTCACAGAAGAGCTGGGTTTTCACTCCTGTTTTCTTTTATTTGCATATAATAATGAAATTGTATTTTAATTAATCTGCTTTCTGTGCTGAAAGACCAACACAGGGGGTGGGTAATAGCCACCTCCAGATAGTAAGTAAAATAAGAGATGCAAGTGCTGTGGCCAGAGAAAGGTTTATTCCAGCACCTGTGTAGCCAGGAGAGCAGAGTCTGTGCTTCCTGCCTCGATAAAGTCAGCCCTGCCAGCAGCACCCAGTTCCTACAATCTCTCTCCACAGGGGACCAAACTGCAACATCCCTGGTTATAGCAGGAGAAAAGAAATTGTACAACTGGTTTTGTTTATTAAGTGAAGGCAGAGTATTCACAAAATAATTTATTTCTCTGTATTGTCAAACTACAAGTATACAGATTTCGTAGGCTCCCCAGAGAAGTGATCACAGCATCAAACCTGACAGAGTTCAAGAAGTGTTTGGACAGTGCTCTCAGGCACATGGTGTGATCCTTGGGATGTCCTGAGCAGGACCAGGAGTTGGACTCAATGATCCAACTCAGCATATTCTATCATTCCATGATTTATATTACCAGAGCAACTAGGAATCCTATTCCCAAAACAAGCATGTGGAAAGAAGAGTGGAAAAAGTCACAACTATACAGCTATTTCACCTCAGAACCTAGAAAATATGTTCACTTGCTAAAGTATTAATCCCCATATATACCAAATTTTATCACTGAAAGCATTCCAGTTTCAGTGGGACAATTTGCTAGTGGGTCTTTTTCAGTCTAACAAATGTAAAATTGTTCAATAATTCAAATGTATAGTTGTTCAATAAAAAATGTAAAGGTGTTCAGATTTCCATTTCCAAGGCTGAACTTTATATAAAGTCAGTCCTACAAAACATCTGTTAGTCACATTGGATACATTTGAAGGTTCAAGGCCATTGCTTCAAGGAAAGTTTGACCCTGATATAGCCAAATATTTAAGGATTAAAATAATGGCTTTGAAGTTAAAATGACTGAAATAGTCATTTATGCCTTAGGAGTTAAGGACCCTGCTGAATCAACACTTCTGCTTCTCATGTCTCATCTGATAGGAAACTGCTTTCATGTGGTCTCAAATATCTCGTGGGAATTAAAAAAAAAAAAAAAGGGAAAAAAAAAAGGGAGCACGAGATCTATCAATTTCCCTATAAAAGACTGGCATAAGCACTTTCTTCTTGAGGCATTTCTCATGAGCGTTCCTTTACCACAACTAGGAAAAGATAGGGTTAAAAAATTTAATGCAATGGAAAACATCTCCCCTGCACCAGGCAGGGGATAGCTTCCAGAAGGTGGGAACGGAGAATAAACTCTTTTTGCCCATCCCTGGGCTAACAGCCGGAGTGGGCAGAGGAAGAGCACCCGACCCCAGGATAAATCCTAATTCCTGCCCACCCACCTCGAAACACGGACAAGGAAAATGTGTTCCTGGAGGGCGGCAAGTACCCGAAGGACCCGGAGTTGTGCCAAGAGGAACGGGCCCACAGGACGGGCCAGGGATCGCCCCCGGCTGTGAAATGCAGGAAAACTGGAGAAGATCTAAAGTGCGCCGGGGCTAAAGCTAAGCAGCACCAAGCGGCTTCCCCTCAGCCTCCGCCGCCCCGCGCTCCTTCCCTTCCCTTCCCTTCCCTTCCCTTCCCTTCCCT